AGCTTTTAGTTGTCGATGAAAACGTTCTACCAACCCGTTTGTTTGTGGGTGGTAGGCGGTCGTTCGGAAGCGCGTGATTCCTAAAAGTGTGGTTAGACAACGGGAAATTCCAGATCCGAACTGGCGTCCGCGGTCTGTAGTGATGGTTGAAGGGCAGCCGAAATTTGCTACCCATCGTTCGACGAAAGCGCGAGCCACGGTTTCAGCAGTAATGTCCTTAATCGGTACTGCTTCTGGCCATCGAGTAAAACGGTCTACGCATGTTAGGAGATATGAGTATCCGTTCGAGTCGGGTAAGGGTCCTACTAAATCTATATGGACGTGGTCGAAACGAGCGTCAGGGGTTTTGAAAGAGCCTAAGGGACATTTGTTGTGTCTTACGACCTTAGATTTCTGACAGCTTACACAGGAGCGTGCACATTCCCTCACGTCTTTATTCATGCCAGGCCAACAAAAGCGTTCGGCTATAAGTTCGATTGTTGCACGAGCACCTGGATGAGAAAGATTGTGCAACGTATTGAAGACGTTGCGGCGATAATGTTTTGGTACAATTGGACGATCCCTACCCGTAGATGTGTCACAGAATAAGGTTTCCTTGCCTGTTCCCATCTGCTTAATACTTAGTTTTAGAGTTGTCGAGGATAACTCATGCTGAAGATCAGTGTCTTCTTTCTGAATCTGAGCGAGTTTTAGAAGGTCGATTCCTTGGAAACTGTTCAAGGAACTTATTCAAGACAAAGCGTCTGCGACTACATTGTTTGCTCCAGAAATGTGTTGTATGTCTGAAGTAAACTGCGAAATGTAGTCGAGTTGTCGAGACTCTCGCGGTGAGTACTTGTCTGAAGATGAACTTAAAAAGAAGGTAAGAGGTTTGTGATCGGTAAAAAGCGTGAATTCTCTTCCTTCGATGGAACGTTGGAAATGCCGTACAGCACAATACATAGCTAAGAGTTCCCTACCGAACGTACTGTACCTAGATTCCGTGTCTAGCAACCGTCTCGAGAAAAACCCTAAAGGTTGCCACGAGTTGTTAACCCATTGTTGTAAAACTCCTCCGATTGCTGAGTCGGATGCGTCTACGGCGATACTAATGGGCGCTTGAGTGTCCTGATGAGCAAGCAGGGTTGCTTTAGCGATGTGTTCTCTAACTGTGGAGAATGCTTTACGGACTATGTCGTCTAAACTAATTGATTTCGCCTTTCCACGAAGCTGATCGGTTAACGGTTTCATTAGGGATGCGCATTTGGGTATGAACCGTCTATAGAAACTTACGAGTCCGTTAAAAGTTCGTAACTGCTTGATCGTGGTCGGTTCTGTGTAATCCAGAATGGCCACCACTTTGCTCCTAAGGGGTCGGATGCCTTGGGCATCAATGGTGTGTCCTGGGAAGTCTAAGCAGTTAGTTCCGATTTGGCATTTCTGAATGTTGACAGTAATGGCATACCGTTGGAGTCGATCGAAAACAATGTCCAGATGCTTGAGATGTGATTCTCTGTCCGGACTTGCTATTAGACAGTCATCAACATACGCATGTACGAAGTTGAGACCTCGGAAGACGTCGTCTATAAGCCTTTGGAAGGTTTGAGCCGCGTTTCTTAAACCAAAAGGCATTCGTAGAAATTCGTAACGACCGAAGGGAGTGATGATGGCGGTTTTAGGAATGTCGTCAGGTGCCATCGGTATTTGGTTATAAGCTTTAACCAAGTCGATTTTCGAAAAGACAGTTGTACCTTTCAAGGTAGCTGTCAAATCGTGAATATGAGGCAGCGGGTAACGATCGGGAATGGTTTTAGCATTCAGACGCCGATAATCACCAGTTGGCCGCCAATCATTGCTGTCCTTTTTAGGGACCATGTGCAATGGGGATGCCCATGGACTATTCGATGGTCGAATTATTCCTAGGTCCATCATGTGGTCGAATTCGTTTTTAGCCAACATAAGCTTCTCGGGAGCGAGTCTTCGAGCTTTCGAAAATACAGGTGGTCCTGTAGTCGATATGTGATGTGTAACATTGCTGGTTACACAAGGCAATTTCTATTGCGATTGGTATATCCCGGGGTATTTGTCGAGTACTGATTGGTACAATGGGTCCATGGCTTGCTTAATCGTGACTGGGGATAACTTGCAACCAGAACAAGGAGTTACGCTAACAGATAACTTAGTGTTTCCGTCTATCAACTTTCGTGAGCGTGTGTCGATGAGTAGATTGTGGTGTTGTAACAGGTCTATACCAATGATTGGCATAGAGACATCTGCGACCACGAAAATCCAGTGTATGGGTTTGCGTAAACCCACGTTAAGGTAGACGTACCTTTTACCGTAAGTAGCGATCGGCTTTCCGTTTGCCGCCTGTAAACTTAAAACAGACTTGAGAAGTCTGTCGTCGAGAACGCTAACTTCTGCGCCAGTGTCGACGAGGTAGCGAACTTTCGTAGTCACATCCGTGACATATAAGAGGCGGCTGTGTTCGCCAGCTACGGTTGCCGTTAACGCATGCCGGCTGGGAAGTTTCTCGAACTGTTTTTCGTGTTACTCGATTTTGGGGTCGGATAATTGCGAGGTTTCCTGCAATTTCTGGAAAACTTACCGTACTGGTTATGATACCAGCACCAGTCGGGATTGTCTGTCTCTCGTGGTCGAGAGCCAGTTCGCCTACGTGAGACACTTCTATGCGGGGTTTTTGACCGACTACGGTCATTGCGAACTCTATGATATCGTGTAAGCGTGTGACATAGTTCGGCCATGTCAGTCGAGGTCGATTGGGTTTTTCTTTGACGGAAAAAACCTCGGCCTTAGAAGATCTAGTGATTTCCAAGATTCGATCGGCAGATGCAGCTAGTTCATCTATGGCATTGTTTTGAAATGAAACAAGCACTGCCTGCACCTGTTGAGGGAGTTTAGACAAGAAAAGTTGTCTAAATAGGCCATCATCGAAAGTTCGTTGGCCGATGACTTCTCTCATTCTAAGCAACATATCCGTCGCAGAACCATGTTGCAAGTCGATATTGTTAAGGAGTTGGTCTAACCTTTGTCGATCAGTTAGGTCTCCTTGTTTTAAAATAGATAGTTTAAGCGTTTCGTAAGGTTCGGGAACATCACTAGTAAATATACTAGGTGTTACGTACCTGTTAAACTCGTGCGGTAACGCCTTAACTACAGCGAGGAAACGTGTGCGCGAGTCCGTGATTCCGTGCATGCAAAAATCGGCTTCTGCATAGCAGAACCAGGACTCCATATTATCGGGCCAAAATGGCGTTAACTGAATCGAAATAGAGGGAATAGACTTAAATTTAAGAACCTTAGGAGGGTGTTCCGTCATAGTAATATAGATAACGAAAAATGTCTAATTAAAATATATCCGGGAAAAAAATCTGAGAAAAATAGTTTATCACAATATATAAAATTCAAATAAAGAATAACAATGAATAATAATATTCCAAAATGGAACAGACTCACAGTATATTGACTTGGTGTACCAGATCACGTCGGGTTCACCAATGGTGATGCAACGGATGTTCTAGTTTTACAACTAGCTACCAGTAGCACCTTCTAAATTCGATCGTTCCCAGTCAGATAGAAATCAGAAGTCAGACGAGAAGAGGCAGGAAAGATATATTTGATTCGTTACCAATATATCGAGGACTTTTTCTATAAGCTGGCTAATGAAACGTAGGAGCTGTGTCCCACGCCGAGTTGAAACGTGATCTGGTGCGGATGCATGACCGAAAGCCTTCAGCTAAACAAGTCCACTTAAACAACGTGGTCAGCATCCAATGTCGAACACTTAATGAGCTATTGATTTTGGGGAATTATTTACAGCTACAGGGAATTGCAAAAAAAGAGGAGCCGAGTAATAAGTCTCGCGAAGACAGACTCCAAAAATCATGATTAGTCTCGATGTGCTATGGGAGAATTAGAGGTGGTCTGATAGTGGCGTATAACGTACTAAATACTCAAAGTTATCCAAACACAAACACTCTTCCTAAACATAAACACCACCCTCCTCGAAATAATCGTAGAAAAACTGTACATCAGATGGTTAAAGCTCAGGTGCGCTCCCACGTTTTCTTATTAGAAATTGTCTCCATTAGGAATGCTCTCCTAGTCGAAAGGATAACTGGGCTTTTAGTGGATAGCTTCAGGAAGAGACTTGACAAACACGTACTCCCTCATGTGTCACCATCTCTCCCTTGTACCGTGTGTGCCTGATTCGTGTCTTATAACCTACCACATGTTATCAGTATCATATACCGATCTAGTCATACGAACTACTGAACTTAATGCTTTGTTTATTTAGTTCTTCAAAAAGTCGTCTCATCTCGATACTCCAGTCATTACCTTATTATTTCCACATTACAATCAAACAACCTCCTGTTTTGTAATGTGACAGTTGCTGGTATTCAGAGTGATTAATTATCAGGCTACAGAATGTCCTAGTATGGTCAGCCAAGGTTCAGTACTAAGACCTCCTTTTTTCTTAATTTAATTAAATAACATTTCTCGGCAGGTATGATCTGATTTATTGCGCTTCGCCGACTATGTGAAACACTGGAGAAAATTTTAAGACGAATATGACAACCTGGTACTTATATAGGGTCCGAAACAACCTTATAGTTGGGCAGATAACGACTGACTTGTGTTTTGCAAGTCAAAAAAGGTATGATAACTTTGTTACTCAATCGTCTGGTCTTGAGCCAACCGCGACAAAATAGTACATTTCGAGCAAACCTTACACTAGTAATGTCGGCGCACATTTAGGACGGCTTGAAGGTAGAAATTTCCATTTAATGTTTGATAGTTTTATCTGGCTCTATTCAGAGTATGACAATATAGTGTTTCCTTTCTCAACCATAAGAACATATTATCACGTATTTAAGCACAAAGAAATCAACCAATCTACCCCTTCTCCTGAAAACGTTTTTGGATATTGGAACAAGGTTTGTTTATATAAATCACTTCGTGAAAATTTATTTTGTCCTGGAGTTAGACTGTTGATTTCGATGGCTATCGTGCTTAGCGTATTGCATCGCTCAGTTGCACTGTGTTTTTTTATTTATATCGTTTTTTATACTTATCAACTGTTTCATGGTAATGATCCGTTTCATTTCAAGGACCTGGCGTTTTTATCGCGTTTTCTTACAATCCTGACAATAGTAAGATATTTTGATACAGAAGCTTATTGTTGTTTCAGTCACTGCAGATTGTTTACTATGCTTTGGCGACTCCTTTGCAGTATTTTAAAATCTTTAAAATACACAGCTCACTATACTCTCTCGTATTTACAGCTAATTTAGTAAGCGGATTTCATTTCTAATATGTAGATTGTGTGTATCATGTTCTGGGGCATTTTCATCTCAGATAAGACCTTGTTGGCGAAGGAATCAGAAATGAAATCTGTCTCATGGTGGTACAATCATGCTTGTGTAAGTCCATCCATAAATTTTATTTTAGCACACTATTGGAACTCCTGCCATCATAATTGACGCTTTACTATGGAGACCAACAATCGTTCCTATATCGAACTCAATCCTGTTTCTTCTAGCATACTTCGGTGGATATGTAATCTAGTAAGTTCTAATTGTGGCTCAGTTTGTTGGCATTTACCAGGCATTTTAAAGATCTGTATGCATTATTTATTTATTTATTTGGACAATTAAATATTGGTACAAATGGGCACCGAATACATATACGCTACCTAAGTCACTTGATTTGTGTATGGGCTATGATACTGTCCGGATGATCAAACTGAAGCAGGTGGTTTTCTTAGAGGGCCACACCCAGAGCCTTCGACCTAAAGATCTTATCCACAAGGCAGTGAAGAACCGTTAGGAGATTTATTCCCATGGTAACCAGTGACTAACGATTGTTTCATACACCACTTGTTCCTTCAAGATACTGGAGCCCACGTGCACCATTGATTTGGAATCAGGCTTCCCCAACTCCTCTAGGTGAGCTTTCCGTGTCCACCAACCCGGTTAAAGCGCCGGACATTCGCTTTTCGTCCTCTCAATTTCGTGAACAACAGTAATGCCACGAGAAGTCAGTGAGTAGGACTTCCTTGTCAGTGGCTGTATGCATATGACCATGTGAGAGCATTTGGAGAGGGAGAGCGGACTCTTCCCGCCCTCGCCCGTACCAGGCCATTAGAGGGAAAAGCGACACTCGACGGGTATAGAATTCGGACCCACTCGGGAAAACGTCGGTGGTTAGCAGTCCATTGTGTCCTGTGGTAAATATTTTAGTGTCTGAGGTGGTCTTATGGAGACATCGCAAGTAGTTTTATGTTCTCCAACTGCTCCGTTTATAGTTTAAATGCAGATTGTACGTTAGCGTTAGCAATACATGATCTCATTAAGCGACAGCTAAAGTGTCTAATTGCAGAAGTAAACGGGTTTTCTTTAAGGTTTTCATGCAAATCACCAAATAATGACCCGAAATTATGTACTGACTTCTACAATGCGAAACTAACATCCACACTTTTTATCCATCAGGTTTATTCTCTTCACAAATAAAGGCTATACAGAGTAGTCAGTGTTTCTACGGAGCTTTATTCAAGCTGTAGGTGTTCCTGTGGTATGTAGTAGGTGCTTTTACAGAGAGTTTCTTATTGAGATATCTAAATGTATATTTGTGGAGGTCTTGCCCAATAATTCAATAATTTCTTCAAACCCTAATCTTTTGGATTTCTGATTATGCTCCTACTACTTCTACCACTATGGGATTTGAATCGACAACTGCATCTCTGTGCTAATGTGGTATGGCAACTCGAACTGATGTACGTACGTACAAAGTTCTACGTTGTGACTGACTGACTGTGGAGGTCTTGAACAACACCCGACTGGTTTGTATAGTGGGATGTTCTAGTTTATTTTGCGTTTTGAAATATTTTTAGTGCGCAAATCACTTATTTATATATGCTATCATAGGTGATTTCTATGAACTACCTTTTTAAGTTCAAGACAATGGGAAAAGGAGAAAGCTTGGGACTATTAATTCTTTCAATGTACAACATTAACCCTTTCTAGTCCGTTGATATTCAACGATAAGATGAATTTCATCTACCTTAATAAAATCAACCGAATTTTTGTACAGCTCATCGGTTTTCTTGGTCAAAAGGCTTTTATTTATTTATTTATTTAAACACATATATATTGGTACAAAAGGGCTCCAGGTACATATGCGCCACACAAAATAATGAAAGTAGGAAGAGAAGGGATGAAGAGATAAGAATTCATCATTTCATTTATTTGTGTGTGGGCTGTGATACTGCCCGGGTGCCCAAACCGAAGCAGGTGGTTTTCTTAGGGGGCCACACCCCGAGCCTTTGACCAAAAAGTCTGATCCACAAGGCAGTGGAGCATCGTTCGTATTTCTCACTGACTACAGTTACGTTCGTCTCTCAATTCATTTAGAAAGTAGATTCGAGTTTCCATTACATTTTAGCCGTTTCTAGGATTTCCCAGGCACAGTTTAGTGTTAAGAGACCAAATATCTTTGATGTTGTCTTTTCACGCTGATTTGTGTCAGATATTAAAATTGTTCACTAGTTTCTACGTAAGTAAGAGATGTATGTGTGTACCACTTTGTCATTTAACTAAATGCCTGATCTTTTATTTGACTTATGGATCACAGAAACATTCTAATGAGTGTTATTCATGCGTAAGCAACGCAAGATCTGCGACAAGTGTTGGTCGGTACAAGATTTCATACCATAGATCAACACCGAGATAATCAGAAATATGAGAGGCGAAAATGAGAACTAAAACCGGTTGTAGAAGAACTAGATATGAGATAGAATTCAGAAAGTCAGTCGGTCATATGCAATGTAGAACCTGGTACATATGCATCGACCCAAAGTGTCTTCGAGAATAGAAGTGTTCGAATAGAATTAAAACTCAGGACTTATACGAATATTTCTTATCTTAGAAATTTAAGCCACAAAACTACAAGCAGAAATCTAGCGTACTTTGGTCCTAACTAGTGATATTTGAATCTGCGACTACTTTTCCAACATATATGCTAAATACTAAATCGTATTTGTCACATCGAAGAGGGATTATTTACTACCCATACATTTCTCTTTTGAAGTATGTTGCTATCTCTAAAAGAACTCTTAAAATCACTTACAGAACCTTAAGTTTGTGTTAACTATCGGTTTCGCTTCCAGTGTGGAATACCTTATACGCATCCATAGTTTCTACCCTTATCCCATACTTGCGGTTTTCTCGGATGTTGGACGATTTGGATTTTATTCAGTAACAATCATCGCAACTGTTCTTTGCTTCGGAGTCAGTGTACTGATGGTTCGCTCTTTAAATAAGACTCAGTATAAAAGGTTGAGTTCAAAAATACAACAACGGACAGAGCGAAAAGAGTCTGTTCCTGTTCAGAGTAAGTGTTAATGTACCTTGATTCCTGCTTATTTACTTATAATTGATCTAATTTATCTATATGATTCTGTCCTTTTTTAATGTTACCAGCTAAATGATCAATTCCTGTTGTAGGAACTTGTTGGTTAACGTCACCTTATTGGTCAACTATTGAAATATGAGTTTTTCAATCGACATTTCTGACAAATGTTTCAGTACAACGATTGTTTTATCGTAAAGTAATTTGTCTACTTCCTGCTTTTTGGTTATCTGGTGATAAGTACGTAGTAAAATAAAAAATCGGATCCTAGTATCATCTTGCTAAGGTTACTTTAGTTTTCTTACAGTGTTCCTTAAAATAAAAGCTAATTGCAGATAGAAAAAAGCACCTCATAGTTACAAACCTGCAGTGATTTATGAATCCTTATGATTCAGCTCATTATCCTGGTTAAAAGGGTAAACTTCTGTTACTGTAAATTAGTGTATTTGCGTGATTATCAATTGTTATATGTGTGAATGGGCTAGAACACTGCATCTGGGTGGTAATTCGAAGCAGGCAGTTTTAGGGGGCTGGTCCCCGAGCCATTGACTTGGAGGTCTAATCGACAAGGTAATGGAGCAGTGTCATACTATCTGGTAACCAAATAGGATTATATGCCGTTCGTCCGCCCAATATCATGCAGGTCAGTGTATGCGGTTGGTCTGGTGTTAAGGTTTTCTAGCTTACGTAAGTGAACCCTCCGTATCCACTAACCTTGTTAGAACTCCGAAAGTTTGCTTCTCTTCCAGTCAATTTTGTAAACAACGGTAGTACCGTGTGAAAGCAAGTGAGTAGGGTTTCTCTTGCATGGACTAAAATGTTGTGGCAGTATTTGACTATTTCTATGGCACATGTCAACTCTTCACACCAACAGCCGTACCACGGTATTTAAGAGGCTCAGTGTTATCATTTTCGTGGCTCATCCTATTTTTTGTGCTCAGTTGTGTTAACTTATATTTGTATTAAACAAACAAAATGAACACGATCAATTTATTATTTGTGATGCATATGACAATGAGAACTGATCATAGAAATAGGCCTACCTCAATATCGATTGAAGTGGTCCTGTCAGATCAGCATTACATGATATTATAATTTGTCCATTCATACATCATCTTGTTTTCCTCTATACCTCTTTCCCTGTTTGTTTTATAATCTCTATCCGTCAATATTAATGCAATTTTTTAAGTAGTCTCTCGTTGATTTTGCATCACTGTGTACATATCCTAAACCAATTTACACTTATTCGTCATGTTATACATTGTTTTCCTCCTAAACTTGTGAACCCACCTAATATAGTGTCCTGGCTATCTGTCTCAATCGTGTACTGCATATACTGTCTACTTGTCTCCCTCCCTATAGTTTATTTTTATCTATCTGAGTTATATGTATATCTATGTATGTATTTGTATTGCTTCATTATTGGTTTCACAGGTAAACACAAGAAATCAAAGAAGATGGATTGAAATGCCAAATGGCGAAACAATATCCCGGCTTTTTGAGTGTCTCCTACTTTCTCTCCTCATCATCGTAACTGAAACTACCACTACAATTAAAATTCTCAGGGAGAAATGAGCTTTTTGCTCTCCACAGCGCTATTCTGTATCGTCGTCGTCATCGTCCTTCCTCTCTTCTTTTTTTGTAAATTATGTCGTCGGTGTATTTTCTAATCGTCGCTTTTTCCCTTCATTTTGATGGGAATGTGGTATTAATCCACATTGTTATTCAAAACTAATTTTTAATATTCCCTTAGTCAATTGAAATATGTTGACCCTATTTATCCTTTATTTTAAGAAATAGTTTGTTATATATATGTTCGTGCAAAATTTAAATTTTTTAACAATGATGCTCATTTATCATATAATTATGTCAGTACTATTTCACATTTGTTCTGTCTATCGTTTTTGGTTTACTGTGCGGAGAAAGGACAGACCAAGAAGTTCATTCCTTGTGATGTGTTGGTAGTAGCTTACTGTATTATGAACTGGAGTGAACTATGTAAACACGAACACAGATACTCAAAGTCTGTCTAATCGATAAGTAAATACCAACGAAAACGTACATAACCATTAATATAGAATTAGAGATCGTAAAGAATCAACGTGTAATGTGAAATCTGAGCTTGCTTCCACTGAACATATCATTTACATATTTTAGCGTGAGTAATATAGATTTATTTTAATCACCCCATTATAAGCTCAAAGCCTCTTCGTCTATCTAGACTTGGAAAGGAAGTCGAGTGTGACATGGTAGATTTATTTCACCGACTGATTTATGTATGAACTTGTGATTTAATGACATGACGATAATGAGTCGAGTCTTGACTCCATTTGCCTGTGGTTGACGTACACAACTCATAACTTATTTGTTAAATGACAGGCAATCATGTTTATTCTTATGTCTTACGTTTTGTATGTAGATTTATTATTCGGCTAGAGAACGAAAGCTATTTTATCAAGTTGTCTTTTAATTGTTAGTTCCTTTGGAAACTTACATAAATAATTCGGTCCTGTAAATAATTATCACTCGACCATGCAGTATTGTTACGCTACATTAGTCGGTCAGTATAGCACTAAAAAATCTGAAGATCCGTTCATCACTATCACAAATCTGCGGACCCGATAACATTTGATTTTGTGACTATTGGTAAGGCATGTGTATTACTCATTTGTTGATACTTGGGATTGTAATTTGGTCGTCCTGTTTTCATATGTGTGCATCCTGTACGTATGGCGTTTACGTAACAATATTTTCACAATGTCTTTTTAAACATTATGCCCGTTGAACAAGCTAGTGGTTGTCTGGACTGGGATAACGAATTGGTGTTTCAAGCTAAAGGTTCCACGTTGTGGTTTCAATATGAATACCAATAATGTGTTACGAGTATATCCGACCAACTAGTGTTAGTTTGGAAGAATATTTATATCTTTTGGATGATGGTTGTAGTAGCTCTCCACGTTTTAGCCCCGTACAGTAGGACTGTCTTGACGTTCGCTATGTCAGCTCGTCTCCTCGTTCTCACATCTTCCATTGACCTTCGGAATTTTTTGTTGATACAGATGTGATCTATCTGGTTCTCTGTGGTGTGGTCCGGCGAGGTCCGTGTAGCTTTGTGTATGCATGTGTGTGGAAATATTGTGCCGCCTATAACCAATTTGTCGAATGCACATAGACTTGCAAATCTCTCCCCATTTTCATTTCTCTCTCCTAATCCATGTTGTCCAATTACATCTTCATATCCTGTGTTGTCCACTCCAACTTTAGCATTTAGATCTCCCATCAGGTTGGTGAGGTCCTTTCGTGAGCACTTCTTTATAATTGATTGCAGCCTTTCATAGAACTGATCTTTATCATCGTCGTTGCTATCATTAGTGGGTGCATAACCTTTGGAAAATTCCATTGTGATCCCCTCCTTCTTTGTTTTGAATGATGCTTTGATTATCCCGGATTTATGAGATTCCCATCCTACAAGTGCATTTCGTGCTTCTCTGGACAGCATTAGAGCAACTTCCTGAGTGTGTGGAGCATTTTCCCCTTCGTGACCTTAGTACAGCAGCATCTTTTCTGTACCTATCCTTTGTAGTCCAGCTTGTGTCCAATGGGTTTCGCTGATTCTGAGTACTGCCAATTTGTATCTCCTCATTTCCATTTCTATTTGGCTGGTCTTTTCTGTCTCCCACATTGTCCGGACGTTCCATGTACCTATAAAGAGTGTTGCTCTGGTTGTTAGAAGGAGCATCGGTCTCGTGACTTCCGAAGAATTTTGGCTTTCATCATGAGACGTCATAATTATTCCTTGAACTCGGAGGGCAGAGTTTAAATGGTTTGAATTATTTTTTCTGGTTAGCGTTTTTTTTAGCAAGTTAGTTTTTCTACGGGGTGGGGTCACTAACTCCATGCCCAACCCCCTTCCTATACTCGGGCTTGGGACCGGCAGCAAGTGTAGAAGAGCTATAGGTGGGGTTACTATAAGTGAATAAGAAATTTTACTTGTCTAGTCAGCAAATTAAATCATTTCTTGGTCAATAACACACACTTGTGGAGTAGATTTTCGATTATCACGATGTAGCATTCTCGTTCGATGACTTCTGATTGACCCACTGTATCGATTATTAATAACATGCATGAGGGTCTGACAATCAAAAATATCAGGTAGAGTGAGATTTCAAAAAGACTACATATATTTAAATTACAAGTCACAGTATACTTTATTAATAAAAGCGACAGCCGTTAAATATTTGGTAGATCAAGTTGACCACCTTGGTACAAGACAAATTGTTTGAATTCAGTTTGACCATAATAATTACTCTAAAGAATTTTGAGAACCATTTATCACTAAAATTGAGTGCAGCGGAGACAGCAACCCAACCAACAGGTTAATGTAGTTATTCAGTACTCTAAAGGAACATTAGGAGTTAGAAAGATTTTACGTAAGCGATGTATACTTTCGAACGAACGTTGCCATCTCTTAGCTTTCACATTGGTAAAACGCCGTAACACTGAAAAAGGAGATACAAAATAGTATCTTTGACATCAAAAGTATTGATTAGAGAGTTTTATTTGTATGTGGTACATCAAAACAGACTGAAGAAATATAAACAATATTTATGGCATATTCAGTAATAAGTATCTTCGGGTTTCTTAAAAAGATCAGTGACAGTGTAATGAACGAGAATACAGGTAAGGACAAACAATATATTTAGGTACAAAATTACGGAGCTTCTTGGCAAAATGTGGGAACCATACACTGAATACTTCATTTGAGAGATTCTATTATTTGTCCTTCTCTGGCCTTTGTATGGACTAATGATTCCTTTGTACTTGACGACTTCCTGGTTTCGAATTCAAAATTCAATACGTTCGTCCATGCTCATTTAGATCTTGTTGATTAGATTCTGGGATTTCTCGTTTGTGTCATAATTCAAATACTCCTAATTATCACACCTTCACATTCTGTATGATCCTTCCAAGCCACAATTCCTGTCTATTTCTGTTTCTGTTTTCTTTTCAACTTGACCTTCATAGCCTTCTGCCGCCAGATTTTTCACTTTCGATATACACTACTTATATCTGTCGACATAAGTAGCATACATCACAATAGGACTATACACAGCAGATAGATAACACGAAGCTGACTTATGCGAGGCAAAAACTCTTCACCGAACTCCCATGAAGAAAAACTGATATAGTTTGGTTAATCCAAGCTACCTGAGTATACCGGCTTCAGTGCCGTTAGCTGCGCATGATAGTTACTGACTAAAATGAAGTAAAAACGTTATTTATCACTTCGTCATCCATTTGGCCACTAGTAACAACTTACATTCAATTGTTTAATAAATTATTACGTTTGAATATTTCTACGAAGAAAATTTGACCAATACGAGAGCCCATGAACATGCTACAATGCTAAATGTTTTAACCATATTTACGCTCAAAATAATTCATTTTATGCTGACTACCGCAATCAGTAATACATTCTTGACCATAGCCTAAAGTCATATATGAACATTGAGTTCCCATTGGTATAACATAAACATACATACTTGACTTCACACATAAAATGAAATCATTTTACGTTGAACGAGTCACATTCACAGTTACATTTAAATTCAACGCATGATACAGATTGGGTATTTGTTTAATATAGGAGTGTATTTGTGACCTTATATATCTCTGATGACTTCCATGTTGATTATTTCCCTGGGTTTGCTAGAACCATACTGTCAAGACATCCTGTAGTGTTTATATAAACCAATGATTCCTTTGTATTTGTGACTGTTTGATTTCGAATTCCAAATACATTACATTCGTCCGTGGTCATCTAATACTTCTTGGTTAAATTGCGTTGTTTCTGGGATTACTAGTGTATACTATAATTCAACTTCTGTAATTGAATCGCGCCCACGCAGTGAAATCAAAAGTCAGGGGTGAGGGGGTTGAAAGATATATTCAATAGATTGTCAATATATCGAGGAGTGAATGATCTAAACTGACTAGTGATCACAGGAGACGTTGAGCATGCCGTTCCAACTCGTGATCTGGTGGGATGTATGACCGGGCGCTTTCAGCTAGTTTAGTCCATTAAAACTAATGTGGTCAGTATCCAATGTCGAAGACTTACATAGCTATTGATTTTGAGGATTTATTTAGCGCTACACTCTTAATTATCTAATCGGCAGTTGGACATACATCCAGATTTTCATGCTTTGGGGGATTACATGGAAAGGTTTGAAATCTGGGCTATGACCAAGGAAGATGTCGAGGATGTCAATATTGTGGCTCATTTCCTTACGTTCATCGGAAAAGAAGCACACAGCTTAATAAAGTTTTTGGCATTTCCAGACAAGCCGATTTCACTCCCTAATGCAACTTTCAAGCAACTACTACTGGACCATGTAAAGTATACAAATTTCGAATGCGGTAAAGGAGAAAAATTCAACGAAATGACTCTCCAGGACATCAGGAA